GCAGTCTTAACGGAAACGGCAGTCTAAACGGAAACGGCAGTCTAAAAGAAAACTATTTTGATTGAGACCCGCTTCTACAATCTTGGTGCTCAGGTACAAACCAGAATCAGTCGAGGCGAAGGTAGACTTCGATTTAGAAAGATCGCGTGACAAAGATCATTGCAGGTAACGATATAATCGCAGGTCATATATAATCAATAACCGCATCAAACGACGTTATCTAGTACGGATCACATGAAGTTGTGTGGCAAAACTTGTGCGGAATCAATTAAAGGCTACGGTGCATGAGCTAGATGGGGTCATGTTTTAGTGGAGTGCATATATTACTAATTCTAAAATACTTTACTCCGACGTCCTGGTTTGTTTCAGTTCATAACCTATTGTCTCTTGCAAAACGTGCCTACAGTCGGATAAACACAGCATCGTTAGTTCTAATAATAAGGAAACTGGACACATTAATATGAAATAAAATTAAATAGGTCTTAATCAACAAGAAGAAATAAAGATAAACCGGACGGAAAACCAATTGTGTGTTTTCCTACTTTTACTGTCGTACCGCCTCTGGCGGTAAAACCGTGCCTTTTTATTTCATTTCGGTGTCATGAAACTAGTACCAGGTTGTATCGCAATCAGTCTTTTGCTAACGATTTATACAATTCATGACCAGCACAGCACACCATCTGCAGTATCGAGATGACGAAGTCAGAACAACATGCTTTCGATGCGTATAGCGCGCTGCCATAGTCTCCATGATGCGTTGCATGCCACAACGCGTGACTCCCATCCTGCTTAGATGTTCGCATATTTTGGCAACACCAAGATCATGACCACCCTCAGAGGAAACATTGAGCCATGCCTCATGCGAGCCAGAGAATCCAGGGCAGCGGCTGACCTAACCGGAACCAGCAAGGCGGCCGCTGGCAGCGCGGCCAGCCCAGCTCGTGACGTCATGATGCGGCGCGGCTGCCGGCCCCGCACGACCCAGTGCAATAGTCGGTCCCCTCACTCATGGCGGCCAATCAAAATTTGCACCGGTATAAACGGTGCAAATAAGGAATCCTTGCCATAGCCCTGTTCATCCGAAGCCATTTAACCAGCGGGCGGTGTGCGCCAACTTCGCCACATGACGGGGCGGGATAGATATGCATACCTACCCCGCTCCCCTCTCTGGTATCCTCGGGTTAGAGATGGCTAGAGATACAAACAAAACGTCATTGGATGGCTCATGCCGAGTAAGTCGTCAAGTAAGGCTTACAGGCGGCATTGTGGTGGATGATATCTGCGTCATAGTATATCAGGTTAAGTTGAACCTTTTCAAGTTTCAAAAAGGTCTTGCGAGCCAGAGAATCCAGGGCAGCGGCTGACCTAACCGGAACCAGCAAGGCGGCCGCTGGCAGCGCGGCCAGCCCAGCTCGTGACGTCATGATGCGGCGCGGGTGCCGGCCCCGCACGACCCAGTGCAATAGTCGGTCCCCTCACTGTTTGTTTACCCCCTTTTACAATAAAATACCATAATATAGAAAAATGGCATGAAATAGACAACCGAAAATGCAAACTTGTGTATTCGATAATTGTTATTTCCGAAAGCATATCTTGGTATCAAATTGGACCATCTCCTCCTGTCGGTTCAAGGTTTCATGCATTTGTGAACAGTTCAGAACAGCTATGCTCAGAACAGCTCGGGTCAGTTCGCAAGCTGTTCGCGAACAGAGCGCATTCAAGACTGTTCACAAACTGTTGGCGAACATCGCACCTTTAGCCTGCCCGCAGCACACGAGGGCTGTCCCGTAGCGCCCATAGCGCACATAACGCAACACCGGCAGGGTCGGAACAGTTTGGAGAGCACGGACGTCAACGAAATTCTACGGCAGGTACACTTGCTACTCCGGAAGTCCCGAACAGGTGATCATGCAGGGTACTGAAGGGGTACCAAGTGCTGAGGGGTATGAGGGGGATCCTACTACTATGGACCCCCGAACAGGTGATTATGTAGGGGACTGAAGGGGAGCCAAGTGTTTGCAAACGCTTGGCTCACATTCCATTGGTCTAAATTCCTGTGACATTCATCGGTAGCTGTCTGGACAGAGGATTTTTGGGAGAACGAGAGGAAATACCGATGTTGTTTCAGACTTCAAGACACCAAATACCGCCCCTGGAAGTGCTTACACCAAATGTAGGTGTGCGTTAATCGAGTGCCTTCCCACGCGTCTACCTATTTTCTCCCAGGCTTGCGTGGATTGGTTACTTACATATTTCTTTTTACGGTTGATGCCGAACTGAGGCGCTTGTTTCTCCAGGCATTTGTCACCCGGTCTCAATATACCGACGAATGCTTCAATTAGTTTAACTGGATTTCACGTCGCGTCTAGGGCGACGGCCATTTGTGCCACTCAGTTAAGAGACTTCGTTCAAAATACAGATCTTAAATAGTCTAGCACTTGTGGGTTAATGCCGGGCCAGCATTGTAGTGCAGCGGGTTTTTGCGGACTGAATTCCTGGCTGGCCAGGTCGGGTCGGGCTGCGCGCTGACCTTTCGGAAAAAGTCGCGTCCCTATACCAGAAACAGTTCCGCGCCATATAGTACACGCCCAGGTGCACACCACTTTTAAGTTTTACCATTAATTCAATCAGCTGGGATTCATGAAAGCTGCTTCGTCACAACAAAGAGGGTTTCGAGTATCACTCCCAGTCATTGTAATTCTGCGTCATAGCCGAGACACGCGAGCGTATGGAATTTACGATCAGCAATATAAGATAATAAAAATGTGCGATTCCAATGACGTTCTGCACGGCAAATAGTCCAGCAATGCCGACAGTTGAAGGGCTTGGTGGTTGGATTAGTCGAAAGGTTTGGGGTTCTTACGCTAAAAATAGCCGACCTTCATCACGTCCGGAGGTGCCAATTAAACGAAAATAGCAAGCAATCATTGGTTATTCTGCATGCTCATGCATATCCTGATAATACTTGATGTCTTTGGTTATCCAAGTCGCCTGGTACATTGAACATCGATTATTTTTAGCACACAAACTCACGATTATTTTCGCTGCAAGAAAAATGTCTTCCAAACTTTTAAACGGCACGGCAGAGTCGACACGTCACGTCAAGATGTTATTTATTGATGCACTTGCTATCGATGGCGTAATTACCGCCATGGAATACATCACGCGTGGAAAACGCGCTGCAGTGGCCTGACACTAACCAGACGACCTTTCAGTCGAATTAGAATACAATTTCGTCTATAAATTCTGGGTAAGGTCCAGTTTAGGCTTTTGACAGTGCAGACATGATCTGAGCCTTCGGTTGCCGTGGATGCCTGTCGTTAATGTAAGCGTCATTAAGGCCAGGCGGAGCCTATGTTTCACGTAGACCACGTTTCAGGCGAATGGATGCTCCCGCCTAGTTTTGTATGCAGCGCAATATAGGAGTCCTGGACAAAGCGCCCATGATTTTTCACGTACCTTGCTTTGCCTTTCAGATTTCTTCGTTTGGTGTCAACCGTAACTAGGGGGAAGACCGAAGTGAGCCTCAGATTCTTGAGGACATTGCCATGCAATGCATTTGACCAAGCAATGCTTTTACCGAGTGATGTCATTGTTCCACCACATTGGTATGCCCTCTTAATGAAGGCACAACAAAGGTTGGTTATTTTAAGCAAAAGAGCAGATTTCCTAGTATCGATTTAGAAACTCATGACAAACCTAAGAGAAAATCATTTCAAAGCTGATGTTTATATATCTATGCACATTACACTAATAGCCCCGTGATATTACCGGTCAATGTTCCCACAATTAACAAAATTATGCGTTTTAGAGAGATACAGTTCCAAAACATAGTTTAATCCAGGTAGGATGGCATCAGTCAATTATAGAACAGTGCTCGTCTGACCTCGATGCATAATCTTGCCTACCCGTGCATTTGTGCGTTCATCCCTCGTGTCCGTTCACAGGCATTTATCACTATACGTCCATATGCAGTGGATGATCAGCATTAATCCCGCAGTCTGTTCGCACCCAGTTGACGATGGACGCTAGTCTTCAGTCCACGTCCAGTGGACGCCGAACATCGCTCCCGCCGCTTACCTCCAGTGGACGCCACTGGTCCTGCCGTCTGTCCACGTTCGGTGGACGGACGGCATCTGCCGCCGCGCCGGCCCAAGCCCCTGAACTCCTCCGCTCAGTGGGAGCGTCACAGATCAGAGTCCGGCCCGGCCGCGGGACTTTGACGAGCCGAGCCGCGCGATAAAGCGCTGCTCCTCGCCGCCCCCGCGGCGCCCACTCAGCGGCATCGCGGAGAACGCCGGCCAACATCCGACGGCGGCGGACTCATTTCGCTAATGAGCGGACGCGGCAGGAAGGACGGCAGCATCAGCTGCATAATGCACGCGCACAGCCGGGCTACACGCAAGCTGGCCGCCTTTGGGCTTCGCCGAAACGCGGGTGGGAACGGAAGCTCGGTTGCAGCCTTGCATGCAAGTGAGCAAGTGGTTGCGCTTTGTCGACGCCGACGCTTCATTGAGATGCGTCGTTGGGCGTGAAGGTCAGCGACGCGGCGTCACCCATGAGTGATTAGTTTTTTACGGTCACAACCGACGCATAGTCATGCTGCCAATGTACCAGAAAACTGGATCAGGGTGACATGGCGGCGGCGGGGGCATATCGCTTAAGTGTTTGCCCATTAACTTCCAAGGTTTTCAATCTGATGTTGAGAATGCTGCGCGGTGAAGCAAGACCCAGCAAGTTTGGACTGCACAAGACCAAGTATACCAGTACTCAGTTTTTTGGCTCAGGTATGCAAAGTCCAGTCTGCACACTACGAAGTTTTGTGAGACTGGGGGTGAAATCACATGGTTTAACGGAATGGTGCATATGCACTGCAAGCCCCAATGTTATTTTCCATTGCAAATTCGCGGGGAAGCGCAGTTGCCAGATTTAACTGACGTCACGGGGCCATCTGGCATCACCAGGACTCGCCGTCTCCCTCACAGAGCCCGCCGACCCACCTGATGTGCATGAGCGTGTGGATGGAGAGCATGGTGCCGAGGCCGACGGCGAAGGCGTTGATCTGGCATAGCGCCTCGCCGAACACCCAGCGGCCCTCGATGAGCGTCACCAGCGCCACCGGCATGTCCAGCGCGGCGACCATCACGTCCGCCACGGCCAGGTTCACCAAGAACAGGTTGGTGCGCGTGCGCATCTGCCGGTTGCGGCAGACGGTGAGGATGACCAGCATGTTGCCCAGCAGGCTGGCCGCCATGAAGAGCAGCATGAGCGCGCTCATGACGATCACGAACGCCGGGCTGTACTTGTGCACGGTGCTGTCGATCGTCGGCGGCAGCGAGCTGTTGCCGTCGGACGGCGCGAACGGCGTCGGGCTGCTGTCGGCCTCCATGGTGGCCGGCGGCGTCCGGGCCCGCTCTGTTCTCGCGCTCCGCCGCGTCCACCTCGCAGACGACAGCTCCGCCGGCGGGCCAGCACCGACACAGCGCCAGCGGCGAGCACCGGCGCGAGCACCCGCGACGCCGCCTCCGCGCGCGGACACCGGCCGCCGAGTGGCGACCGCGCGGCCCGGCGGCGGCGGCGGCGGCGGCGGCAGCGGGCGCCGGGGCGGGGGCGGGACAGGCGGGGCGGGGTGGGGCGGGAACGGTCGGGTCGCGACCGGGCAGCCGTCGTAAAACCACCCGGCGACGCGGCGCCTGCCGAGCGTGCAACGCAGCGAAAACGTGTGTCGGCACGGCATCTGCATGCAAACGGCTCGCTGACAGGCTTAGTGGGGATGATCGAGGAAAACGACCGGAGATGGACATCGGGTAAGGAGACGCATTACTAGGGCAATGATCCCATGCATTCCAGTGTTGATGGATGCCAGAGTACATTTACCAAAGCGTCATGGCGGCGCGGGGCCAATACCAATGTGACGATCGCGGAGCGCAGGATCAGCGAGGCGATAACACACGTGAGAGCTATCAGAAATAGCAATCAACATCCTATACACCGCACAAAACCCTAAGCTAGTAGACCGAGGCGCATCACACCAGCATGTATGACAGAGCGGTCGATCGAACGACGAGACGAAAGGGCAATATTACATCTCAGAGTCTGTCAGGCTGATATTCAATGATGCAGCGTTTACAAGCCAGGTCACTTATCACGTCACACGCAAGTTGACTCACTGTGGGTCTGGCCAGGTAATTTCAGTCGCAAAAAAGGCTTGTGATGATTTCTTTTTTATGATTCTGACCAGAATATTGCGGAAAATGTGAATATTTGGGCGTGTGTTGGCCACAATGGAGTGGACAAAGTGACTGTGGAGTCCGGAGGTTCTCGGATCGTTTAGGCCACTGTGTACTGTATTCGAAATCGCCTTCGGACAAGGTGACCTTGGCGACCTTCCGGTTGACCACTGACGCGCCCACGGCTCGAGAGCGCTAAGAGCGTTTGACGATTTGTGGACGGTACATTTAACTACACCTTGGAGTTGGTGTCAAGTCGCGTCTCCATCAGCTCACATGTGCTCCAAGCGGTTCGATCCTGAAGTCGTGCTCGAGAGCGTGTGACCAGCTGCATGTACCGATGCTGATTTTCGCCGGCGCGACTGTCCGTTCCCTTTCAAAACGGTTTCGTCCGTGTTTACGACCTTTGATCAACGTCCAGGCCTAAGCGTGTCCGCCCATGTTGTGGCTGTCCATGTCATGCGGCTTTTCTGCAAGTAATTAATTAAACGTTTCCAAAGTCATTTGAAGGACAATTAATGAAATTAACGTGCTCATCGTCTGTTGAAAGGCAATGCACATATTTTGTTTAAGTAGCAATGTAGCAGAAAAGGCACTCGTTGTCAGATAACTTTCAAGCGCACGCTGCGAAATACCTAAATAGAGGCTTTTAGCAAGTCCATTTCTCGTCACTGAAAGCCGCGTAAAGCTGCGACCGTTGGCTTCCAAGATATAAGCTTTACGACATTAGCTCCCCAGCGTCTAGAAAGGGTAGTGGATGTGCCGGGCCTAGCAACTAAAGTTCTAAATCATCTCACGGTTTATTTAGGCTCGACTGGCCTCCGGCGCGCTGAGAACCCGAAGCCTGATGTAAGCATGTTGAAACCTCTGAATGACATTTTGACTTCCTCGAATGGACTACTAAATCATTCTTATTAATATTGTATCACTGGTTTCAAATATAGTTTCCTCGCGCACTTTTGAACAAGATATTCCCATGTGTGCTCTTATTCGGAAAGCAAATGCCAATATCCCTTTCTATTGGGATCGTTTTTATATTATCGTGGATGTTTTTTCCAGGCCTCGTCAATTGGCAGTCCTGTTACAAGCAGAGCCTTTCCACTTCTCATTTCACCATACATAATCGTATGTGCACACCTTGGCCCAATCCGCTTAGATTTCTGCCACTGGAATTGGCGCGCGAAATTGGGCATGTTGTTCTGCGGTCCCCAGGCCGGCAAACTCGGTGGGAGGACCTGAAATATAAGTCACTCCCGTGGGTGGGATTAACTGCAGTCGAAATGTTGCCATTAGATAAACCCGATCACAATTATTCCTGACTCACACAACGCTTGAAAGCTAACGCATTCGTGATAATTGCGTGTGATTTCACTGCAATAAAATTCTGCTTTGAAATAGCGGAAATGACCGCGGCCTGCTCCGTAACTGCCGTTCTCAAAACAATTTCCCATTCAAGGGCCATGCACAGGGAGGTCTGTGGCGAAATGTATGCCATATCCGACAGACATCCTGCAGGCAGGCAGATTGCATGTTCTGCCGGCAGACGCAGTAACCACCCCGATCTGCCCAGATCCAAAGTACGGCATAAGATGCCACATATCTCACGTCGCTGAGCTACGGCACAATCGCCTCGGTCTACGCGGAGCGTGAAATCCAATTTACGTTCTCATGATTCACGCTTCGAGGATGTCGAAAATCTTCCCGGCAAAGCCCAAAACGCAAACTATTTCATAGAGCCACGCATTACAAACGCGAGGCTTTCGAGCAGGGGCGTCCCCTTGTACCCTCGCAAGTGTCACAGAACATTCTCGCCGCAACACGAGGCGTGTTTCTCCCCCAATGGCGGATCGGTCTATTCGCGCACGTGTTTTCGCTGCTTTTGTCTTTGTCGGCAATTATAATGCGCCCAGTTTACCGCTGATTCTGCCGTTCCGGGCGCGGTTTGCTCACGAGCGTCGGGAGTTCACCTTTGTTTCTCTCTCGAGGCTCTGGCGCCGAGGACAGAAGGAGAGCCATGGTGGGATGCGCGTGTGGTAGCGGTCGTGTGACGTCCAGAGCGCAGCAAACATGTCGCCATGGTAGCTATGTCGCCTTTGTTTCCCATGACGTCATAATGTGAATTTAGGCCGTCGAAGGTCATTCTGTAATCGTACATGGTCTCGGCCTCGGTCGACAATGCACCTGAAATATCAGTGTATGGTGGGGATATTGATGCACCATGAAAGTTTGTTTCGGTGTGCGCCCACTGAAAGGGAATTTATGAACAGAAAACGCTCACTCATATCACAAGCTCGTATTCACGCACAAACGCACGCACACACGCACACACATACGCACGCACACGAGCACGCACGCACGCACGCACGCACACACACTAATATGCTAACATGAACAATGTACGTAAGTTATCATGATAAGTTCGTTTGCATACATGGGTCTGTGAGTGTACCAACATGTACTAGGCATGGTCGGTTTACTTAATTTAGCCATCCTTGACATTACTTACCGTTTCGCTCGCCCCATGCCGCTCAAGGCGTCTTACTGATGGAAAGTGGATGAAATTACCTTGAATATAATTCACTCTCGACCAGAAGCACAGCTCGAAACGCCGAGTATTGTGACGATAACCAACGTTGGCTTGATAACACAATTTAACCAGCATCTCCTGTTATACTGGGGACCGATGTCCGTCAGCAAAATGAATCTAACTGATAAAGGAAAGGCGGAGGGCGAGGCTTGTCCGCATGGGGTGCTGGTGGGCACCGATGTGCCTGTGCGAGGAGGGGGCAGTGCGAGCATGACGATTTGACACTTAAAAGACTTTGGCTGAGACTGTCGAGGAAAGGCATTCGCCAGCGTGTGTAACGTAGGCGGCCTCACGAACGCACGCGTCCGTGATAATGCTTCGTGTGTTGCGTCGCATGCGCTGCAGAAAGTATTCAAATTTAAAGATGGCAGAGCTCCGGCAAAGTATCCTGCACTTGCAGACTTTCATTAAAGGAATATCCCCGACGGCGGAAGCACGACAGATTTATCGCTTACTTGGGAAAGGTGTGGTTTAGGCGAATTCCTATGGTGCCGGTGGCGAAGCCAAGGAGGGAGGCTTTGGGATCATGGTCATTCTGAAGATGGTGGAGGTCCCCGTAGAGCGAAAGCTTCCAGTACTTTTTGGCAGTTTAAGTAGTCCGTAGGGCTTTAAAACATCGAGAAACGGGCCCTCAGGGTATCCGAACAGATTCACGAGCCTAACACGTTCCCCAAAATCCTACAACATGGCCCCTTTAGCGATGAGGTGGGTCCCCTTAAATGAAGGTTCACATGCCCCCATTTTTCCCACTCCTGGACGCCGCTGATATTCTATGCGTCATCAATCACAACCGGTCGTATATGATAAAAGGCAGACGTGGGTCAACAAACACAAATGCAATGTCGGGAAATATCCTCAACAACTATCCAGATATTTTAATTGCTATCAACAACGATGTGTAATGTCACGTTAAATACTTCGACTAACAGTTATTTCGGAGCACATTCAAGTATCTACTTTTTACGCTGAATACATGTTTACAACTACTAAGTACTATTCCAGTTTAGGGGATTATTTTGCATTATGAGTTAAGAGTTGTTATGCTGACGATTATAGACCCTCATTATACCAGAAGGTACTGATTAAACGACGCCATCATGCAAACATTGTTGACATTGCCAGCGCTCTTTTTCAATGCAGTCGTAAATTCATGTTGAAACGTCGAGCATTGGTAATTGGCAATTGGCAATTGACAGTTGATAACTGCTTTTCACGAAAAAAAAATAAACCGATAGCTTCTAGCCGTTTTTGAAATGTTCTTAGGAATTTGAATCATACTTGTGCCTGGCAGTTTGGCAAGAAACTGATTGTTTTCATGCATTTTTATTGATATTCGATAGCCAAAAGACGTTAATCAAACTCCAGTACGCTTATGATATGAAACAAGCGTCGCTAAAAGCATTTGCCTTTTCAGTCCGCGCTTTTAGCTACCCAAAGTCCCGGAAAATACTCGACCTGGCAACGGCATAAATCTGTCCGACTGTGTTGAATGCTGGCCGCGCCATTATTGTCTACGCCGGTGCCGCGTGGAATAAGCTGGGCTTTGAGGATCATTTAGGACAACGATCATCT